GCTAACCGGCGTCGACTTCCATGTCCTTTCCGCGAGGGAGACCTTGTTTGGGTCCTCTCCGAGGAATTTGCGCTCGAGCAGGACGTTTCGTGCAAACTCCTTCCGAAATGGTTCGGACCATGGGAAGTCACTTCTGCCGTTGGAGACGACCCTGCAGGTCCTTCCTTCGTGATCAACATTCCATCGCACCTTACAGTGCATCGGGTCTTCCATGCATCGAAGTTGGCCATCTACATGCCACCTCCAGCTGACGAATTCCCCGGACGTCGATCACAGGATCCGCCTTCCATGGACGGACATCAGGAAGTGGACCGAGTCATCATGCACCGCAAGTATGGCAACAAGCCAATGCAGTACAAAATCACATTCAAGCAATGTGCGCCTGACGACACTCGGTGGATCTCTAGTGCAGACTTGCAGACTTCTGCACCCCTTATCTTCGCCAACTATGAAAAGACACGACTTGCCAAGGCAGCAGCTCGTCCCACCCGACCCATCCCGGTATCGGACAGACAACTCCGCCCTCGCAAGTAGCTCGGTCTTTTAAGAGGGGGAGTGTGTTACATCTTCGACGCCACACGGGTCCTACCGGACCCGACATAGGGGTAGAAGGACACAGTAGGGCCAAAGGCCCGACCTTGGGGGTACTACAGGCCGTAAAGGCCTCACCTTGGACCAGATCCGACGGGCAGGCCCAAACTACATTACCGTTTGGGCCTGGCGGCGCTCTTGAGGCTGCCTCCCGCCGGTTGGGGCTGAACCGTCCATCTGGACGGTTCAGGGCACGGCCAGGCCTCGCAGCATTGAGGCCGGCCTCTGCCCCACCGGTATAAAGAACCGGTCCAGCCCCAGTCGAGGCATCGACCCACCGGTATTCTACGCGGTGCGGTAAGGTCGGCGCCAGAGCGCCGTTTGAGCGCTATTCTTAGCGCAGGAGGAAGGACAGCAGCAGCGCGAGCTAGCGCCGCGGCAGCAGCGAGCGAGGACAGCAGCAGCAGCACGGCGGCCATCGCCGCCTCAGCAGCAGCAGCTGCAGGTACCAGGAGGCGAGGATCTCTTCCTCCCTCCATGGTCCCGTTCCCCTCCTCACCTCCGTCTTCTCTCTCTCTCTCTCTCTCTCTCTCTCTCTCTCTCTCTCTCTCTCTCTCTCTCTTCTTCTTCTTCTTCTTCTTCTTCAGATTGGAGACTTATACTAGTTGGACAGAGATCAGTATTGGACTTCGGTGGTATGAGACTGGTACTTACCGGATTGGAGACTTGGAGGTTGTTGGGGTTGATACTCGCCTGCATCACAATTCGGACACCGGTTACATTTGGACTCTGTACCTCCGACATTGGTGACCTATTGTCCTCGACATTTTGATCTTGTTGGATGACATTTTGGACTACCATATCGGTGACCTATCAGATTCTATCTCGGTGACCTTCGGTGCTGTCT